TCAGCCAAGCTTGTTTTTCCTTCTGAAGAAGTGCTGAGAGCTGCTTCTAGGATTGGAAGGCACTGCTGCTTTGTGAGACTTGGGGGAACAGATAATCCTCTGGCAAAAGGAATTGGTTTTGATGTCCATTTTTCCCAGTTTTATGATTTATTTATTTGTCTTGAGGCATCCCCCAGTCCCTGACTCAAGAAATCTCAGAAAACCAATGCATGTCCATCATGCAACTAAAAAATATTATCATTCTGGGAACAAAAATGTTTGAGAAACTGATAGCAGGAAAGAAATGTCTTCAATAAAGAGTTGTGATGATTGAGTGCTTCCAGGCCAGAGCAGCCCCTTTGGCTTTCAGCAAGGAGACACCACATTGCACACAGTCATCAAAATTCCCAATCTGCATATAAATGCTTGCAAGTCAAATAAAAACATTCATCAGCTTTTATTTGAAAGAAAAGAAAGAAAAAAAAATCATCATCAGAAAGAAAAAAAATCAGTGAAAAATGTTACAATAAATTTCTTAGCTAACCCTGCTGCTCAGGCTGCAAAAGGAATCACTTATTGTATCACCTACTTTTTATTAGCCAGAAAGCAGAGAAGAAAAAAATTGCTAAGTAGGATATTTAGCAAAAAAAGGTGAAACACAGAGCCAGTCTTTGTGTATTGGTTATGCAAAGAAGGAAGGCCTTAAATAAAAAAGAAATCCCAAAAGACAGCAGGAAGTAGCAGTGTTTTGTTTCTTATCAAGCCCTCTCTCCTGTTCCACGTGTCCCATATAATTTCAGAGATTTACAACACAATTTCAGAGATTTACAACACAATCCTCGTTTAAAATATAGCCATAAATGTTTTTATATGACCATAAAGCTATAGCAGAGTAAATGTTGGAGCATTTATGAGCATCTCCAAAGCCAAAGGTGAACAGTTTCACACTTTCTGGGAGGGAAAGGCAGTATTTCAGAGCTCCAGCCCAGTGTGGACTCCATAATGGGCCAGCTGAGAGCTGATGGGAGCCTTTGCCACCTCAGCAAGCACCAGGAATTCCAGATTTAAGCATTTGCCAGATGCATATTAAAGGTTTGCAAGGGATGGCTACCAAATAAATAGCCACAGGGCACTGAGCTTTCCTTCTTGTCTCAGCTTTGCATGCACCTGCCAGAACAGCTTCCCAGAGAAGGCAAGCATTTAAACTCACCTCCAATTTAATCTGGCCCTCCAGGGACAGGAGAAAACTGCTTCTAATCAAGTAATAATGATGTATTTGAATTTAGTAACATCAATCAACATTATAAACACATGGCACATGCAAATTGAAACCATGATCAGCCTCAGTTCTCCCGATCACTTCAAAATAACATCATGAATGAAGTCAAAAAGGATTTGTCTCATGTTCTTGACTTTATGATCTTGTGTTTTTAGCCATCATGTACCATAGTATTCCCAGGTACAAAATACAATGGAGGAAAACTAGGGTGATGGATTTCAGGCCAAATGATGCTCAATTTCTCCATCATTATTGGGGAAAGGAAAGAACAGGAGCCACTCAGTAATCATGGAACTGATTTCTCCCCAGCTATGCCCCAGACTTTACCTCTTTACAAAATGTACCAGGATCCTGAATTCAAATCCTAAGTAGAACAGTATAGAACAGCAGAATAACTTTTGTCAGCTCCAACTACTGACCTAACCTGAAAATTACTCCCATCCACCTGTAGCTATTGCTACCTCAGTGACCATATTCAGCTCTCCATGAAACTGGGAAAGACCCATTGTTGCAGACATTTTTTCATAGAAATCTTTTCTTTAAGATTTGTTCATCTTCTGGGAAGCTGAAGCCCCAGAAGAAAAATGTAAACAATTGTTATCAGCTAGTGTAAAATACAACAAGTGCAGCAGTGATTAAGCTTCTGTGAGTGTTTAGATTTACTGACCACTCACAAAAGAGTTTGTCCTTGCTTTCTGCTAAACACAGAACTTTGTTATACATTCTTCTTTCCTATACTATTCTTAGCTTAATAAGCCTCTGCAACTTCTCTCTTTATTCCTTTTAGTATAGTAATAATGTATTATGTATCATGTATTAATAAATCCAACCTTCTAATCATGAACCAAAATTCTCATCCACTTCTCTCACCCTAAAAACCTCATCAAGTCACTGTAATAACCCATCTTTCAAATATTCATAAAGAAGTCAAATTCCACCAAGGCTGATATCTCTGCCAAGGGATGTCTCTGCCCAAATCTCTTTGAATGTTTTCTCTAAAATAATGACAGATGGGAAGATTTGTGCTTTTCCATTCCTGCACAATATGTCTGTTGTCACTCTCTTACACAGATCAAAGTATTCTCTTTCAAAACAGGTAAATCAAAGATGGTTTGCATTTGGATATACAAATTAGAAGCTGAATCCAAAATAAAACCCTGACTTATTTCCAATTAGTTTAGAGGAGGGATTTGGAGGCCTTTTTGAGGTGTTTTGTAACATGTGTGTTCAATTGAATCTTGGATCCTTTCAAAATTTGTATAAAGAGGGAATGCATGGACCTACAAGTGGCTCCCCTCTTCCACATCTGTCCAAGACAGGAGAGTTATGGTGTGGATTGAAGTCCTGTGTAACACAATGGGGGTGTTAGCAGGGTGGCCTTTTGGGGCAGAGAAGCAGAGTCTGGCCTGTCCTATTTTCTGTTCCAACTTTGACAAAAACATGTTTCTCATCTCAGGAAGCCAGTGAAGAATTTGCCTCTGGGAATCACAGAAGCTCCAGCTGGAAGAGGGCTCAGACAGGATTAGAGGCAGAACAAAAAGGTCAGGCTTTCATCTGTGTGCAGTGGCACTTTCTGGTCTGAAGTATAAAAAGCAATTTTGCTATGGAAGGTTTCTGGAATGTCCATGACAAAAATTGACTGAAGCCTATGGTCTGCTCTGGAGGTGCCCTGTGTGCTTTAAACAAATTTTTCTTGCATATCTCTGGCAATATCTCAGCTCACCAATCCCACACTGGCTGACACCACAGACTCACTTGTTTTCTCTTGGGCACAGCACACACACTCACAAGACAACTGCTTGTTTGGAGAGCTCTAATTCTGACCTCCTCATAAAGATTCCCTCTTCCTTCTCTATGAAAATTCAGGTTTATCAGACACCTGGATTTATATTCTACTTCTGCAGTGCTTTGATGATTTCATCTCCCAACATCTTCACACTCTTGTGGGTTTGTTTTGGACAAAAACCATTAACCAGCCCCAGTGAAAACCAGAGGCAATAACAAAGCATCAAGCAACAAGTGTATCAGAGCTGAGAAGGGAGAGAAACTGCAAGAAGCAATTGTGCTTTCTATTTCTTTAAAAGCAAATGTCAGGTCAGCAAGGCTTTTCTAATGGTTCCTAATCAAGCAGAAATCCTGCAGCCACTTTGGATCAGCAAAAGAAGCCAAGATGGGATAGTTTGTGTCAGCTGGGTTTGTGCTAATGTCCTTTGTAAGAAGTGCAAGATTTCTTTTGTTTCCTTGGACATCAAGAAGCTTTCACAGTGTTTATGCAAGCAGCAGATACATGAGGCATTTAATCCTTTATTTTATCTTATTTCTGCCATTATAATCAGAAATTTTACAGGAAGATGCAAGAACCCACATTAGGCAATTACAGAGCAGCTGGCCTGAGGAGCAAAAACTGATCCAGAAGGATCTAGAAATAAGCCTGCAAACCTTCTGGAAAAGGCTGCACCTTTGCTGAAATGGTTTTATTTGGACAACAGTTCAAAATTCTGAACTGTTAAAAGATATAAAAGAGGAGGGGAAGTTGCCATCTCAGCCAGCTGAGACTCTACTAATACTCTGAATGTCTAAAAATTTAAGATTTACTCTAAAATCTACTGTTTATGTAACTACGGATATATTAATTAATCATAGATTTTCCTCTCAAAATCCTATTAATGAACTGGCCTCCCTAACACAGGAGTTAGATCACACTGCCTGTAAAAACAACCACCCTGTGTCAATTTTACACAGACTCTCACCATTACTTAATGTCCTTTCACTTGAATAAACAGAGGAATGAGTTTTACTTACACATTCTGCAGATTTCATTTCATCCCACCCTCAGATATCCCATTTCTAAAAGAACAGCAGTGGATTTTACAACATTAATACTGCAGAGCACCCAGTATCCAGAGAAAGGGGATTAGATACTTAACTAATTAATTTGCTAAAATGCTGCCTAAATTAAGGAATAATGCAATCATAGAGTTACCACCTACAACTTTTGGGGTTGTAGTAGGACTTGTAGCAGCCAGGACTACCTTCTAGGGAGTTAAATTAAAATATCTATAGTTACATAAACAGTAGATTTTAGAGTAAATCTTAAACTTTTAGATGTTCAGAGTATAATCCAGTCTCAGCTGGCTGAGATGGCAACTTCCCCTCCTCTTTTATATCTTTTAACAGTTCAGAATTTTAGTACAGCACCTTCCTTGAACTTCTATAAACTCACCCATTTTGAACAGCCCTTTCACATTCTGGATCTCTAATGCTCTCATTTTATTGAAATGCCAGAACTAGTCACCAAGAGGGCTCCAATCCAACAGGCAATAATTGCTGGAAATTCTTCTCATTTCCTAGCCCTCTCCTACACCCCTTCAAGACAGAACTGAGGGAAGTCTTTCCTGCTCTCCCCAACCTTTCCTGGCTGAAACCTGTTCCAATTTCACCCTGTAAATACCTGATATGAACAGATGAACTGGGAGGGGCCAGCAAGCTCTTCATAGTTTCAGGGGGGTGGAGGTAAACAGAAAAATAGTATATAAGATGCTTAGAGACAGACTTGCAAAGTGCATAGACTCTGACAGGAGGTGTCTGAAAAAAAAGAAGCCACTTCCTCAGGCTCCACCTTCAGAGCCTCTCTTCATTGGAAGCAACGAAGGTACCAGGCTGCTGCAGGAAATTTTACACCTACCCCAGCTGCATTCAGCCTCCTGCAGTCAGCTGGGAGGTTTCTGTTGCTGTAAGCAAAATGCCAGCAAGACCCAGGGCTCAGCTGGCATGGCTCTGCATTGTCACAGTGTCTGTGGTGATCTACCCAGCCCTGCTGCACAAAGCTCCCAAGAGGAGGATGAGCAACGGGAACGCACAGCTGAAGATGCCAGGCTGCTGCGAGGAGATCAAGGAGCTCAAGCTGCAGGTGGCCAACCTGAGCAGGATGCTGCAGGAGCTGAGCAAGAAGCAGGAAGGGGACTGGGTGAACGTGGTGATGCAGGTGATGGAGCTGGAAGGCAGCACCAAGCAGATGGAGTCGCGCCTCGTCGACGCCGAGAGCAAATACTCCCAAATGAACAACCAGATTGACATCATGCAGCTGCAGGCAGCTCAGATGGTCACACAGACATCAGCTGGTAAGGAGGGAGTCACCAAGCTCCCAGATACACCTCTCAATGCACAGTTAATGCCTGGTTCCTAGGGCTGGCATGTCCTGCTAATGTAGCAAGCATGCACGCTGGAAACTGCTGCTTAGGCAGGGACTCTGAGGAAAGTAGCTTGAATTTCTTCATCTGTATTTTTATATCCATGTCTGCTTTTAAGGAGTGCAAAAACTGAACAGATATTGCACTTCTACAGTGTGGAATTCAGTCTATATATTAATTTTCTGTTATATATTTCATTTTCTGAGCACTACACTAGAAATCCTAAAAGAAGGGGAGCTGGCTTGGTAAGGGAATGGCTCTGGCAGTAAAAATCTCTGAGCTCACAGCACTGACACGGGACTAGAAATTGTTAAAACAATTGGAAATGCTCTCCAGGAATTACTAAAGATTTGTATCTTTAGTATCTTTATGACTACCTCTGAACCAGAGTAAAAAAAAAGAGTTATCCATTATTTTTGAATGATAGTTCTTAAAAATTCAAGGCTGTAGATTGAATACAAACTGTGATATAGAATACAAACTGTGATTTATACCTAGCCAGACCACAGTTAAATTCTTCTAAATTCTCTTCCCTGAGGGAAAATGTCACTGCACACAGTGATTGCACAGGCCTGTACTCAATGTGGAATGCAGGTGCATTTTTAGGTCAGCTACCTGTAAAGGCACTTCTAGAAAAAAGCATCCTCTTTGCTGACTTTTCTCTTCAAATGAAATTCACTGCAAAGAGCTTAAATTGTCCCAGTCTCAACTGGGTTTGCCAACAGACTTCATTTTTTTTAACATTAAGGAAGAACTTCTAAATCTATTTACTTAATTCTTCCTCTAAAAGGAAGGAAATTCTTCCTCTAACCACCTGGTTAGTTTTGACACATCACTATTTACAGTAGGCCTTGAAAAAAAGTTATGCCATAACGAGGCTCTTTAAAGCTGAAGAAAAAACAGTTACAAGCAGCAGAAACTGGCCCAGAAGGAATTTAAGACAGATATTTCTCACCTCACCAGGTAAGAGACATTTTTAAAAGCATCCTCTTTGCTGACTTTTCTCTTCAAATGAAATTCACTGCAAAGAGCTTAAATTGTCTCAGTCTCAACTGGGTTTGCCAAAAGACTTAATTTAGATTTTTTTAACCTTAAGGAAGAACTTCTAAATCTATTTACTTAATTCTTCTTCTAAAATAGTTCTACCTGGTTAGTTTTGTCACATTACTATTTACAGTAGGCCTTAAAAAAAGTTACACCAAAACAAGGCTCTTTAAAGCTGAAGAAAAAACAGTTAAACACAGCAGAAACTGGCTCAGAAGGAATTTAGGACAGATGTTTCTCACCTCACCAGGTAAGAGACATTTCTGAAAGCTGTCAGACATTATAAAGCCTTGCTTCAGCTCATTTATCCCCCTCAGAATAGCTCTGCATTTTACCATCTTCAAGCCAGCTCCTGCACCAGGAGGAAAAGGCTTTCACAGACTGAGTGAGTGCAGTTAAAAAACACTTTCTCTGTCACAGATGCCAGTGCAGAAAGGGCTGAACAAATATTCCTCATCCTCAAACCTGGCCAACCTGCTCACAACTCAAAACAGGCTCCTCACAGCAGGCTTGGCCATTTATTGGATCAATCTTTATTACTGACTAAGGAGTTAGCAAATATACTTTCCAGCACAGACACACAGTGGCAATAAGAAAGCAGAGATGTCTTTTTGTACAGCAGAGGTAAAATAAATAAATAAATAAATAAATTAATAAAAATCACAAAATCCCAGTATTTCAACACCTTTTGCCAATGCATACACTCATAACAAAGCCATTTCAGGAAAACATTTATACTTGTGGAAAGCCTTCTTCATTTCTCCTTGAACTACAAACTAAAATTTGCAGAAAGCACCTTCACAGAAGAGGAATTCCTGCTGCTCATATTCTCATTTTCTGGTTCTGATTCAAGTAGATGCTGTTTATGACTGCTCATCACTTTACCAGAGGAACTACAGAATTTCTGGTGTTTACAAGTTACCTCCTGATGAATTTTTGGGAATTCCAGATCTGGAGGTAAGGCAATATTCAGTACACAACGTATATTACATATCTTTTAAAATATAATCAAGAAATTATTGATTTCAATAATTTCATTTCAGAGATGAAAAAAGCACACACTAAATTTTGGTACCCTGCACTTGCCATCAGCATCTTTATGTAAGCAAACTTAAAATGATGGGAAGAGTGTATTTATATTTAAGAGAGAAAATAGAAAAAGGGTTTATCTAATAATTTTTTGCCATATAAGTTTATTCAGGTTGTGAAATCTGTAACAATGTCTTGTGTTAAGAGAGCTGAACCTTCCTAAGGCTACTGACAAGTGCCCACTGCCTTTTTTTCTTGTTCCAGGTGTTCTGTGACATGGAGACAGATGGAGGAGGCTGGACTGTCATCCAGAGGCGTAAAGTTGGTTTGACATCGTTCAATAGGGACTGGAAACAATACAAGGAAGGATTTGGCAATATTAAGGGAGATTTTTGGCTGGGAAATGAAAATATCTACAGACTTTCAAGACGTCCCACTGTCCTGCGAGTAGAGCTGGAGGTAATGAATAAACTCTTAATTTCAGCAGCAAAAGGCTTTTTTATTTCCCAGTACCAGATACCATCTCCTGTCTTCTTAGGATGCCCAAAGAATTTGCATGCTTTAATTACAGGCAAGAGTTTGCATTGTGTTACCCTCAATTTCTTCAGTCTGCTCAAGGCTTGGATTTGACTTAGACTGGTTTATAGCTTCATTTTATATACTTTATAGTACTTTATATGCTAGTTCATAGTACAATATCTTTGAGGGATGGGATCTGTATAAACTGAAAGGTTTAATTGTTGAGTTTGTGAGGTCCCCAGGACGAGGAGGTGAGAGATGAGGAATCTGACCCCATGTTCTCAGAAGGTTGATTATATTATATTATATTATATTATATTATATTACATTATATTATATTACATTACATTACATTATATATTATAATATATTGTATATGAGATGTGATATGATATTATATATGAGATATGATATGATATATTATATATTATATTAGCTATACTAAAACTATACTAAAAAATAAAGATACAAACAGAAGGCTTAACAAGAATGATCATGAAAAACTCGTGACTGACTCAAAGTCCAACACAGCTGATGGTGATTGGTCATTAAGTAAGAGCAATTCACATGAAACCAATCAAACATGCACCTGTTGGTAAACAATGTCCAGCCACATTCCAAAGCAGCAGAACAGGGAGAAGCAAATGAGATTATATTGTTTTTTTCTCTGAGGCTTCTAAACTTCCCAGGAGAATAAATCCTGGTGAAGGGATTTTTCAGAAAATATGACAGTGACACTTAATATCTAAAAGTCACTTTATCAGAAAGGAAAAATATTACTTGAGGCAGCATGCTGACACAAGGATATTGAATGCAAGAGCTGCACATCAGGTTTCCTACAGATTGTACACCACCAGCACAGACAAAACTTGGCAGTTTTACCTTGTTTTCAAGTTTTATTGCAGTTTCTGCAGTCTGAGACATGTATATAATCATGGATGTTGGGTCTTTTTCATAACTGCTTTAACAGCACTGATTTCTTCTCCCCTGTTGTGGGCAGGACTGGGAAGGTAACACACACTACAATACCAGCAGTTCATCCTGAGCAATGAATTAAACAACTACAGCTCTTTGTGGGGAACTACACCAGAACTACACAATCTGTTTCCTACAGATTGTACAGTATCAGGCAGATAAAATTTGCAAGTTTCATGCTTTGCTCTGGGAAGTTCCTTTTCCTTAACAGAGCAGTTTCTGCAGTCTCAGACAGTAAAAATACATGTATATAACCATGGATGTTAGGAGTCTTTTTTGTAACTGCTCTAACAGCACTGATTTCTTCTCCCTGTTGTGGGCAGGACTGGGAAGGTAACACACACTACAATACCAGCAGTTCATCCTGAGCAATGAATTAAACAACTACAGGCTGTTTGTGGGGAACTACACTGGAACTACACAATCTGTTTCCTACAGATTGTACAGTACCAGGCAGATAAAACTTGGAAGTTTGATGCCTTGCTCTGGGAAGTTCCTTTTCCTTAACAGAGCAGTTTCTGCAGTCTCAGACAGTAAAAACACATGTATATAACCATGGATGTTGGGTCTTTTTCACAACTGCTCTAACAGGACTAATTGCTTCTCCCCTCCTGTATGCAGGACTGGGAAGGAAACACACGCTATGCCCAGTATGGGCACTTCACCTTGAGCAATGAAATCAACAGCTACAGGCTCTTTGTGGGCAACTACAGCGGCAACACCGGGCGGGACTCCCTGCGCTACCACAACAACACAGCCTTCAGCACGAAGGACAAGGACAACGACAAGTGTGTGGATGACTGTGCCCAGTTCCGGAAAGGTAAAGCACACAAAATGTCACTGGTGGGTTGGATGTGACACACACATGTGATTAGGTGTTGCTCTGGATCAAAACTCTCCATCAGAACTGACTCCTGTCCTTCACCATCGCCTTAAAGCTTCTCTGGCAGAGGGAAATCTGAGGAGCAGCCCCTGTTATGGGGGGGAAGCTCCATCCCAGCACCACCAGAGCTCCTGCAGGCCTGGACTTGCCTCCATGCACTCAGCTGCACCACACAGCTGGCCAAAAGTGTCTGTGGGGTGAAACACCACACACCCAGCCAGCCCAAAGTGTCTGTGGGGTGAAACACCACAGTGCCACTATCTGGTTCAGCACCAAGGGCCAGACAAACTCAGGCACACCCCATCTGGCTATATTGGTAATTATTCTAATAATTAGGGTCTAAGAAGAAAAAAGGTTTTTGTTTTGTGTGTCGTGGTTTGAAAAGGAAGTGAGTTTTTTTAAAGGCTGTAGTCAAACCTATAAGTGCTCAGATTTGCACCTGATGTAGTCACCATGACATCCAGCTTACATATTTTTAACAAAGCATGATCTTAAGTCATTAATTACATCACAATAACTTACTACATCCATTGTGCAAAGCAATTAACATCAATATAATTGGCAAAAGTTTTACAGAAATTTAATAAGGCATGTATACACATCTACTTATGCATATAGTCTGACTTATAAAAATTTTCATGTATCTTTTTTAATCTGTTTCCATGCTGACGGCCTTGCCTTCTTCCTTGCTATAGATACACTTGAAAATCATCAATTGTTATTTCTTCTATTAACTCAGCTCTGCTTACAAGCCAGCTGTCAAGCCTCTCCCTACTTCCCCCTTTTTGTGTTTGAGGAACAAACACAGCTGACAAGGATTTTTGCAAAAATCCAAGCAGACAAGGGAGACACAGGGCAATAATTACAATCACCAACAAAATTAACAATCCAGTCTCCAACAAGGCCTTAAGCCAGTGATGCCCCAGCTCTTGAAAAAACTATTCAGCCATTCCAATCCATCATCCACTTGTAAGTAATTGCCTTGTCCAGTTGTGCCTAAGAATGTTCTCTCTGCATCTCCCTTCCTGTCCTGAGAGAGCTGTTTGGGTCAGGAGTAGAGAGCCCAGCTCTCCCTCTTTTCCATGCAATTAGTAACATCTGAATGGCAAATCAAGGGAGAGGTGAACCATTCTGGACAATACACTTGTGTGGGAAACCTGGCAGTTAAAGCTGATTTACAGAGCCAGCCTGTCACCATCATGTTTTCTGAAAAATCCCTTCACCAGGATTTCTTCTCCTGGGAAGCTCAGAAGCCTCAGAGAAAAATGGAAACAGTATTATCTGATCTGCTTCTCCTGTGTTGTATTGCTTTGGAATGTGGTTTGGAGATTTTTTATCCAACTGGTCATTGTTTGATTGGTTTCATGTGAATTGTTCCAACTTAATGACCAATCATAGTGCACCTGTGTCAAGGCTCTGGAGAGTGGCAAATTTTTAATTAGTATCTTGTTAAGCCTTCTGTAAGTATTCTTTAGTATAGCTTTCTTTAATATAATATAATACATAAAATAATAAATTAGCCTTCTAAGAATGTGGAGTCAGATTGATAATTTCCTTCCTGCCACAGAGGACCCAGAAAATACCACAGCAGACTGTGTATTACAGACATCAGAACTCTTAAAATAACTGAGTGCTCTCCCCTACACACATTTACCCAGTCCATTATAATATCTGCCAGACTATCTCACATGCTGATAAAATACGGTGATACAGAAGTTATTCCTTAGTATCTATCAGGTTCTTATTATTTCTTATATTTTTTTAAGTTTTCAAATCCTAATATTAGGCACCTGTAATTCTTCTCCTGTATTCACCTCCACATTCACTTGACTTGTGATCTTTATTACAACCCTATTATTGTGATCTTTATTACAACCCTAATACAAGCCTCTAATTTCAGAGGTTGTTCTTTTAATTTAATTTAGTATCTTTGAGTTCTGACAAAGATAATTATCTTCATTACATCTTGCTCTTTAATTTCCCCATTGTGTCCCACACAAGATGAAAATAAAACTGTTGATCTCAGTCTCAGTAAATACTCAGAGAGTGCAGGAACTTTTAAAACACCTTAAGATGCTCTACAGTGAATTACCCAGATTCATTTCCTATGCTAATTCACCGAGTCAGAAACACACCAAGGAAATATTCTAAGAGGAGTGAGCAAATAAATTAAAAGCTAGTGGACTAATTGGACTACAGAGCTGTAATGCCTTTAAGTTCCTAAATATCTATGTTAAGTTTTAAATTTATCTGCAACCTCAACTATCAGAGCCACAGGCTCCAGGGATTAAATGCTGCACTCTGCTCACTGTCCTCCGGAATAAGTAGTAATCATTAATATAAATAATGATATAAATATAATTAATATAAATTAATGTCAGGAATCTCTTCTCTGTCCTGACAAGGTGGATATTGGTACAACTGCTGCACAGATTCCAACCTGAATGGGGTCTACTACCGCAGAGGAGAGCACACCAAGAACATGGATGGCATCACCTGGTACGGGTGGCACGGCTCCACCTATTCCCTCAAGAGAGTGGAGATGAAGATCAGGCCAGAGGATTTCAAACCATAGAAGAAATCAGTGTTTGATTGATTTCTACAGCTCCATGACTTCACCATGCAAAAGGTGGGCAACAAACAGCCAAATAATGTTTTATTTCATTCAATACGTGCAACAGCTATATACTGGTGATGTACACAAACACTGTGACACCAGTCACAGCCACCAGTACTATCAGGACTCAGGCTTGTTTCCTCCTCTTCAGGCTCTTTCCAAAGGGAAAAATATTGTGTTAGAGTAGCTTAGAACTGAATGCACTTATAGCACCTTCAGAAAAGCCATGGGTGTGTTTTCACTAGCAGTGTGATTGCTGGGTTGCCTTAGTACTATTAACCAGATAGGCAGGGACTGAAAAGCAAAAGCCTCCTGGCTTCCTTTCCTTCAGTGTCTGGAGCAAGCACTGCTAAGCAACTTCCTTCAAGAAGTACTCAAACCTCAAGAGCTATAGACTCATTTCAAGCCAGAGGAATCAATCAGAAGTGCCCCTGATGCACTTTTCTTTAGTAAGTGGCTTACTTTCCTACAAAAGAACAAACAAAGTTCAAAAATGTTGTGTTAATTTGCATTGTCCAGATTCTCCCCTGACCTTTTACTGCCACCTCCTGCTGCTGCCTCAAATAATCCCCACTGAAGGCTGCCCTGAAAAACAGTAACACTGGAGGAGGATTTGTTCCATGGGGCTTCCAATGTTTATTTCTATCCACACAGATCACCTAAATGCTGATAAACTAGAAAAACAACTTCCTGGGCTGTTCCCAACCTGTGTTCAGGTTAGAATACAAACTTGCTGCACGTCAGTAAGGCTGAGAGTGAGCAGCAGCTTAGCAAGCCAAAAAACTCAACTCCAACACTTAAAACCACTGTATCCATGAGCAGAACACCAGTACACACCAGAGAATCAATCCCTAAGTGCCAAAAGTTATTTCACTGCAAGGGAATGTTTGCTAGCACAGCAGATTGAGGAGTATCAAAATCTATTCCAACTTCCCAGGTGGAAGTTACCTAGAGATAATCTGTCAAAAATAGTAAATTTCTCCCTCATATAACACAGTGTTAAAGATAACAGTTAAAAAAGAATGAGACTCCTCCTATAGCCCTACCATTGCTTGAATGTGTTGGAAAATTATCATTATAATTAAGATATCTATTTTTATTCACCTTGAAGAGAGTTTGAATCTAGATTAGGTTGTTCAGTCCTGTGTGAAATGGAAGAGAAAGATGTCTTGGGAATTTACATATGTTTGAATATTCATAATGCAATTTTCAACTGTGTGGAACTATAATTGGAACTATTTTAACTGTGGTCTATAATGGATTTTTAAAGGTTTCTAAAACTTTTCCATTTCTAATAAATTGTTTCATTTTTAAGTGTGCTTTTATGTCAATTCTTTGCTCCTCAACTTGCTTTTTGATACACAAAAAACAACTCCATAAGCAACTGAGACCAAGAAAAAAAATACACAGAATTCTGTTTTTTTCTCAATAACATAAGGCAGAATGAAGGGTGAAAAAAATAATAGAGGAGGCAAAATTGGAAAACTCAATTCCAATGAAGTAGGAGGGTTGAAAAAATTCACTGCATAAAGACAAAGTTAAGTTTTTGCTCAACCAAAATCAATTTGTTCATCTCAAATAGCTGAGCTAACATTTCTGTGATATGGAATAGAGATTCACATTTTAAACCATGTAGCTTAGCAAGAAATCCTGTGCAGGTTCTTTCAGGCCAACTTCTGTGTCACTGAACAAGCTCAGAAACAACACATAATTTATCATATCTTCTATTTGACTTAAGAGCAATGAGCCCTATCTAAGCTAAATCAGCAGAATGTGATGAGAAATTTTAATTAAGAACTTCAACTTTTCTGACTCACTTATATGCAGGTATAGAAATCTGTCTCATTTAACCTGCAGCCATTTCATGACATTCCACAGTGCACTGGAAGGGTGAGAGAGGGGAATCAGAACTTTTTCCTGTGAAACATCCCTGGGCTTCTATCATAGTTTTAACCACACAGTAGAAGGACAGAACTCAGCAGCTAAAATTGAACATTTTCAAGTAGTTTAACAACATCTTGTGGCAGAGTGAAATCCTAAGAACTGCCTAGATTAATCCTGGTGATATCTTAAATTGTAGCTACTACAAGAGCAGAAATCTCACCAGTTGTGGTCCTACCTGATAAGAGACTCCAGAATGGCTGGGGTGGGACCCTTTTGAAATTCCAGCTCTTTGTAGTGAAGGGCTTTGGCATAAGCTCGACATTTGGCAGCTCTTTCCCCCAGAAGGACAATGCCATTGTCATCTCTCAGAGGCAGGGGGCCCTGGGAAGGACACACACATCAGAAACAGGATGAGTATTACATGGTCATGAATTCCACACAGAATAAGCACCAAAATAGCAATAGAAGGGGCTTCCCAACAGCATCTCTACCTTGTCACTGTGCTCCATGAATTCTGCCAAGTTCAGTAGGGTCTGAGTGACTTCTGCAATGTCCTGAGAAGTCAAGGCCAGCTCAATGCTTCGGATCAGCTCATCCTGCTGGTCCTCGTTCAGTTCAGACCAGCAAGAAACAAAGGCAGCATTGAAGAGGTCTCTGGGGAGGAACACAAAACACAGAGTGAGGTGGGGATTCATGAGAAAAAGTGTTTGACAGTGAGCTCACCTTCTTACCCAGAGAAAGAGAGCTAAAAAATACACTTACATGCCTGCCTGCAATAAACAGTGACTAGCTTTGATAAAACTAACTTCATTTAAAAAATATAGAATAGGCTGGTATACTACAATAATAGAAATATTGTGCTATTATTTGCTATCAAAGTTTCTCCAAACATGCTGATTGTAAAAAACCACTGCAATTCATTCCACTCAGATGGATTTTTATTCCCCACAGTAAATACTAAACACAAATATTTCATAGTCTGCTGTTTTTCCAGCTTCCCTTATGTGCATTACCTTCTTTCTGGACCAACATGCAGAATTTCAATGAAAGATTTTGTGCACATCATGGAGCAGCCAACTAGGAAGGGTGGAAATGAAATCAAGCTGTTGGCTCTTTGATTTATGCCAAAGCAGGAACTGTCTCTATTTATGAAACCTAAGAGCTTCTAAATAATTTTCTTTTTTCCTTATAATATCCGGCTTCCATCTGCCATTTCAAGTGAGATAAAAACCCAGAAATTCTGTACCGAGCCATGGGATTATAGGCCTGAGCCAGGGCCCAGCATGAGCGCAGGGATGGTGAGGAAGAATCCTTCAGCAGCTCCAAACTCAGCCTCCTCAACCATTCCAACCAGTCATCCTTGGAAACTCTTCTTGCTGCTCCCCAGGCCTGCAGTACAAAGGAAGATAATTCACCAAACAAAGCATTAATTATCCAAGAGCCCAGGAAATCCATCAGCAGGCAGCATTACTTCCTTACAGCTCCAAACCACATGCTGAGAATTCCTTTTCAATTTCCTGAAATCCATTACCTTTACCAGATAATCTGCAGTACTTAAGTCTCATGACTAAGAAATCTTCCCTAAATGTATTCCTGCCATGACATGGCAAGTATTTAACATGAACAATCCTTTCTCTGCAAAAATACACGTTGAGCTGAAGGCGCTGTTGAAACATCAGCTTAGAATACTTAATGCATCTAGAATTACATTTTTCAGTCCAGCATTTTCAAACCAATCCATCCCATTACTGAACTGTGTGCTGCATGCATGTACTGTTCAAACTAGCCAGTGCTTAGCTATTAAGTTCTGCCTTCAAGAAAATGTAGAACTAGGATGTAAGAGGAGCAAAGGCAAAAATACAAAAAATGGTAGAGGCTCTGAAAAAGATGTCTCTATTGGCAAGAGATTATTCATTGTGATCTACAAAGTCTTGCTCATACTTAAGCAAGTGTAAAGGTTACTTCACAGCCATTCACTCCTATCTTAAAAGCTGCTCTGCACCTTCTAATTCTAAAGAGTCTCAGACACTACTTTGACTTCAGTTTTGTACAGAAGAGAAAAGCAACATAAAAGCAACATAAATAAATTCAGATGCATCAGACAAAACTCCTTCAGCGTGACACATCAGCTCCCTTCAGCAGCAAATTCCCACTATGAAGGCTCTGGTCTTACCTTCTGCAGGTTGATGGTGCTCACATGTAATTTCTTCATGGGACCCGTTTCCACAGGACCAGTGGCTGAAGTTTCTCCCTGGTTGCTTCTCAACATTCGATGCTGATAAATCAGGGGATCCTCCTCTTCATCAGCAAGAGTGTAACCCTACAAGAATTGGTTTACAGTGAAGATCACACCCACACATACAGAAGCAATTCTTGACAAGCCAAAAAAAAAAAAAAGAGCAAAATCTTGCAGCAAAATCTGTGAAGCAAATAACCATGTTTTGTTATAAAGCCAGAGAACTCTAAATGATGTATCTTTGCTCTTCAAGGTAACTGTCAAGAACTCTTAGCTCCAAGTATAAAAAGCCAAAATAATGTACATTGAAACAAGCACTATTGCCTATTTGATTGTAAACCAGTTGTAAATTGTAAACCAGTTACTAAATTTTTAAAATGTAAGACATTCCACAGAAAATACTGAGATAAGGTCTCCTCAAGTCCTGAAACTATGGGAAAAATAGGATAAATCCACATTTAAGAAAAGAATAGTAATGACACCTAGATTTCTAGGGAAGTCTAAGGAAATATTTCATATCAGTAGACAAAAAATTTCCCATTGCAACCTCAAAGTTGCATTAAAAAGCTGCACTTAAAACAGAAACAGAGCAACAACCACTCCTCATTTTATGAGCAAATCCAAGTGAAGGTTCCAGCTACATTTGTTTCAACATGACAATATCCCAAAAGTGCAAACAACTGTACACCTGTCAGCTTACCTTTACAATTCTGCAGATGAGCACATCATAGCGTTGATGGTTAATTCTGTGTCGCACCAGGACTTTGTTCACCATGGGGATAAAAATTTGGTACTGTAAAAGGGAACGCATCACAAACTTGTTACTCAGTGGCACCAA